GTAACGTATGGCTGGGCAGTGGTGGCTTATGCCTTTAATCCCAACACTTGAGAGGCAGAGACAGGCAGATCTTTATGAGTTCGAGGCCAGCCTGGTCTATAAAGTGAGTTCCAGGACAGGCTTCAAATGTTGAACAGAGAAATCTTATTTTTAGAAACAAACAAAAATGTAATGTATACTTACAAAATACATTAGTAGTTAGTCATTTATAATAATCAAACTTATAGTCATGGTAGGTATGTTTTCATGATCAAACATATTTAAATAGATAGATGGTCTTTAAATACTTTAAAAACTCACAGACATACAATATGGCATTTAAGATGTTTAATAACCTGAGGCTTTTCATGACAGTGAGACACGTCTGCTCCTGACAGCACCAATATACTTCAGAGAAGATGATGGGCATCACAGAACCTCCTTGTAGAGTTTACTTTCTTTGTGGCAAAAGCTAGCCACTGAGGCAAGAAACTGAATATGCCTCAACTATTGACTGTATGCCAAAATTGGACAAACAGAACACAAAAGAAATGACTGCCAAACTTTGCCAAGACAAATAGTACAGTCCTTCAAATGTCTCTGTTTCTCAAAAATGTCTGTCAAATAGTCTAGGCCTGTAGGCCAAAGATGAATGCCCCAACACTGCAGTGGAACTTTGGGTGACTGTTCAGGTAGCCAAATGTCTCTTTTGTTAGGTAATATTACATCCTTCTGGGATTTTTGATGGGGCTAAAGACCAAATAGTTAAATTTATAGTTATGATAAAAAGTAAAATAGGTATAAAACATTAGACTTACAAAGATAAGATAGATAATAGAATATTTTCTCTAAACTTGCCAAATACAAATGAACTGGATGTTGTAACTGTAATTCTTACTTGATAATTGTTTTTGTTGTATATAGTGTTACTATGTTAAAGTTAAAATATTCCTTTTTAATTAGACAAAAGGGGAGAAATATTGTAAAACCATCTTTTTGTACACTGTAAAGATATGTTGCTCTCATTTGTTTAATAAAAGAGTAGATAGTTAGGTAGAAAGCAGTTACATGGAACTTGCAGACAGGAAAAAAGCAGAGGAATGAAGGAGGGCAGAGTCACCAGGAAGCTGCAAAAAAGGTACTGAGCAATGTGGTAGAATGTAGATAATAAATATGGGTTAATTTAAGTTGTGAGAGCTATTTAGTAACAAGCCTAAACTATCAGTTGAGCATTTATAATTAGTAATAAGTCTTCATGCCATATGTTTTCCTATGGTTGAGGAGATGAAGTTTTAATTGTTGGTGGATTCTATTTGTATATATGTATGTGGTGTTCAAATCAATATTCATTAGTATGACTAGGTTGTAGTAAGGTCTAAAGCCTCTCTGTGAGGTTTATGTATCAGTATCATACATGTTTGAGAAAGAGAATCTGCCAGTATTCTTAAAGAATAATGCCCAACAAACAATGTTTCATCTGAAAATGAGGAATATTTGAATACGACAGAATCTATTAATATATTTTGCCATACTAACTGATCACAAGAGAAAAACTACAAAATCATCTCAATAGTTGTTATCAAGGCATTTTTAATTAAAATCCTTCTTGATTTTTAAAATCATGGGACTATTTGTTTATCAGAACCAACTATACTTAATGCAGATATATTTCATTCACCTAGTTGATGCTTATTAAGTTCCTCATGTATCGGGTCATATACAATGTGTTGAATGGAGAGCAATTAATAGAAAAAACAAAGTGCCTATTTTCCTATATTCTATTTGGGGAAAGACAATCAATAATTCTATAGGCTTACAGACTGTGATTAATATTATAAGGAACATCAAGAGGATAACGGAATCCTCAATAATGCGAATGGAGATTTGCTTTAGACAGGTGGTTAAAAAAGACCTTTGTAGTCAGGTGGCGATGACACAAGCATTTAATCCCAGCACTTAGGAGGCAGTGGCAGGTGGATCTCTGAGTTAGATAGGCCAGTCTGTTCTGTAGAGCAAGTTCCAGGACAGACAGCCAAGAACAAGAGAGAGAAAGGGAGAGAGAGAGAGAGAGAGAGAGAGAGAGAGAGAGAGAGGGAGGGAGGGAGGGAGGGAGGGAGGGAGGGAAAGACTGTGACTTGTGATCTAAAGATAAAGAATGAATCAGCTACACACAAAATACACTTCCAGAAAAAGACAAAAGACTTGAAGGTGATAGATTGAGACAAGATATCAATGTGAGGCATGAAGGAGAAAGTGTTGGCAGGATGATTTCCAAGTATTGAGTAACTTGATAGAGGTGCCACTTCTGGAGAAAGGTAACATCATATGGGGAGGGGGCAGATTTGTTGAAGTGAAAGTCTAGTTTGGGATATGTTGAATGTGAGATGCCTGGGAGGCATCAACATGAGGAAGGGAGGTAGATACCGGAATGTGTAGACTAGAGGACAAGGGAAAGAATTTTGTCTAGAAATGTATGATTATTTTCTTTCTCCCTTCATTTCATCTTATTTTTGAGATGGTCTCACTATGTAGCCCTGGATGTCCTGGAACTCTCTATGTAGACAAGTCTGATCTTGAACTCGCAGAAATCTATCTGCCTCTTCCTCCTGAGTATTGGAATTAAAGGTGTGCCTTATCATGCCCAGATTTATTTATTTATTTTAATGTAATCCAGGCTGGCTTTGAATTTGGGATCCTTGGGCCTCAGCTTCCCAAGCGGTTGGATTTCAGGTATCCACCATAAGGTCCATCAGGACACTTTTTTTTTTATCAATCACAAATGAGAAATTGAAAAACTGGGGAACAAAAGCTAAGGAAACAGTCCATTTCTGGGTAAACAATACCAAATACTGACAACATCCAGCATTAATAAGAACTGAAAAGTGGCTTTGCAATAGAGTAACATTAGGAAGTAGCATTGCAAGCAGTAACATTAGGAAGAGAAATTGAGGAGCTCTAGCATTAAGCCTTGTGCAGAGAACTGAGGATGAATGGGAAGAGGAAGGAAGACAAGTGGAGAAGAAGGAATGCTGTGAAACTTGTGTGAAACTCCCAGAAATTTGAACTTATGCATTCTATCATCTAAATAAAATGTCAGGGATTGCATTGGCTCCACTTTCAAAATATACACAGAACAAAACTACTGACCAGCACTCACACCTTTAAGTCACTTTATTGCCTTTTTGGCAACGGTTTCCTGGCTGCTCACCTAGCTTTTCCCTTTACTCTTCCAAAGTTCTCAGCACAAAGAATAACACAGGACTTCATCTAAAATTTAAATCAGGTCTTGGTGTGCCTTTGCTATATGCATTCCAATGACATTTCTTTCCCCAATGAAATGCCAATCTTTTCCAATGGGATCTGAGCCAGTGGCCTATCTGACCTCATCTCCTAAGCGCTACCATCCACTGTCTGTCTCAGCCACCCAAGTCGATTTGCCATTCCATGCTTACTTTTGCTTTAGAGCCCTTGCGCTGGCCACACCCTGCATCTGCTCCCTCCATGTCTGCATAATTTACTTTCACTCTTTCCTTTTAAGAGTTCTAAAATGACTTGTTCTTCAAATACTAGCTTTCCTCAGCCTACATAGTTTGAGAGATTTAAACTGTAAGTAATATAAATATTCACATTATGTGTAGGTAGGGATTTATGAATTAAGAATATTGGTGGTTTTCTCCAGTGGAGTGATACTGGGTATATCAACCACTCCAGGGTAGGTCTCATGTTCAGGAGTACTTGACCAACATATGATGGATTCCACAGTTTTCCTTGTGCTTTTATTTGGTTACTGTATGGTGATTTTTTTGGTTGTTGTTTTTTGTTTGTTTGTTTTTGCAGTGGGATGGGTTGGGGTCTTTTATTTTGATTTCTTGGTTTAGGGAGTTTTGTTGTTCTATTGGGTTTTTATTTTTCTTTTGAAAAAGAACTTAAAGTTGGGTGAGTAGAGAGGGGAGAGGACAAGGAGGAGGGAAATAATATGATCAACATATATTAAAATTTAGAAAGTGTTTCAAATAATAAAAATATAATAATAAAAAGAATGGGTTGATATGGAAAGCACAGACTTAATGAGAGGAGGAAAGTAAAAAAGGAAAAGAAAGAAAGAAAGAAAATTGTTTGTTATATTTATAGATTGATTGAATGAAAAGTGTCTCCCAATGACTGATGTAATTTGAACTCTTAGCCCCAGTTGGTAGCGCTGTTTTGAGAGATTGAACTTCTGGAAGCAGAGCTTAGTTAGAGGAAGGTCTCTGGTCCCTGGAAGGGCCTTAAAGTTTGTGTCCAGCCCTATTTCTGGCCCTGTTTCAGCTTCTTGTTTCACTAAGATAGAAAGAGGTAAAGGGTTTCAGCTATAGCTGCTCCCTAATACCATGGAGTCATGCAGGCATGACTTCCTACCCAGGATAGAGAGCATCATGCCAAAGCATGGGCCAAGATAGTTTTCCACCATTATGCTGTTTAGCCAGGTAGTTTATCAAAGTGACAAGAAAAATTAAGCAATACAATTGAGAATTTCCCAAAAATTTCAAGTTAGAAAAACTTCAAGGTCCCAGGGTCTTATACTATAAAAAACAGATGAACTACAAACATAAAAATATTTCCTTTTAATTATAGTTTTCATATGCAGTATATCATACTGCAAATTATCACAATACACAGCCACAGTCAGCAATACATTTATATTTACTGCCTACCATGATCCTGATATTCTACAGGAAATATGCCTCACTGTCTTAGACACTGTTTTATTGAAGCAAAGGGACACCATGACCATGACAACTCATAAAAAAAAAACATTTAATTGGGATTTGCTTAGGGTTTCAGAAGTTTAGTCCATTATCATCATGGCAGGGAGCATGGCAGCACACAGGCAGACGTGGTACTGGAGAAGTAGAGGAAAGTTCTATATCTGGATTCTCACGCAGGTGGAAGAGAGAGAGCCACTGGGCCTGGCTTGGGCTTCGGGAAAACTCAAAGCCCAACTCAAGTGACACACCTCCTCCAACAAGACCACATCTACCCCAACAAGGACACACTTCTAATTTTTTTATATAGTCCCAGTCCTTGATGACTGAGCATTCAAATACATGAGCCTAGTGGGGCATTCTTATTCAGACCACCACCCTTACTTTGTTCGTTAGGGTTTCCATCACTGCGACAAAACACCAGGATCAAAAAGCAAATCTGGGAGGAAAGGTTTCATTTGGCTGACAGTTTCACTGTTCATCATCAAAGGAAATCAGGACAGGAACTCAAAAAGGACAGGATCCTGGAGGCAGGAGCTGATGCAGAGACCATGGAGGAGAGCTGCTTACTTGCTTGCTCCACATGGCTTGTTCAGTCTGCTTTCTTAGAGAATGCAGGGCCACATGCCCCAGGGTGGTACTGCTCACCATTGGCTGGGCCCTCCCTCATCAGTCACTAATTGAGAAAATGTCTTACAGCTGGATCCCATGGAGGCTTTTCCTCAACTGAGGCTCCTTCTTCTCTGATGACTCTAGCTTGTGTCAAATTGACCCAGCCAGGACATCCATCTTTAATCCTTCATTAACCCTGCAAGGTGAAGGAATTGAGGCTTACAAAGGGTACACGTGACTTCTGAGCATACAAGCAACAAAACATGACAATAATTTCCAAAGGGATTGTAGGAGTAGTGAGAAAACAATTCTGACTCTGGACTTTCTGCTCTTTTTGTGACACTGGGTGATATGCCACTTACATTCTCTCAAGTAGATACAAAGATCATTTGAGAAATGGATTTGTACTTAGTTTTAATATCCAAAATTATTCAGATGTTTCTATGGTCTTTTTGGGTGGATCATAATAAAACTTTATCAAAACAGGTATACAACTGAAGAATGGATAAGTAAGGTAAACACAGCAGTGGTCATTATAAAAACACAGAATTGGTCCCATACTTTGGATAGTGTCGTGAGTCTTATTTAAATTTATTATATCATCTTATATATAACATCATGCAGGTGAACATGACTTCCTTCTATATCTTGGCTTTTAAGTGTATAGGACAGTATTCCAAAATAATTAGGAAATCAAAGTACATTGTATTCCCATTGGGCATACTCCATTCAATTTCTGGCCCAAGGAGGAAAGAGAAGTAAATGGAAGGAAGGAAAGGGGGGAAAAGATAGAAAAGGAACAATGGAGGATAGGAGAGAGGCAGGGGAGAATGGACTGTTACCGTCTAGAAGATACAAGCGGGGTTGTATTTTAGAAGTGAATCAAACAATACCTTACACTTAAACAAAAAAAAAATAGATTTTGACGAAACAGGACATTAGGTAGTAATAACTCAAACACTGTATTTTCTGGCCAGGCAGGCATTACACAAATAGTAGAAAGAAATGTGAAACACTTGAACCAATTGGATGAATGTATGAAAGTTATGGTCCCAGCAGTAGGTCAAGAACAACATTATAAAAGCAGCTGAACTGGCTGTTAGAATGGCAGCAAATTTGCTTCAACTTGGATATAATGAAGCAGAATGTGTTGCCTGAAATTAAATGGAAAAAACACAATAACTGAGAATGGAATGAACAAACACCAAACCTTGGCTTAGAATTTCTCCATTTAACATATTACAGAATCCCAGGAATCTTCAACTTGGAATATTCTGGATTCTGCATCCTAAGTGCTGTGATTCAGATCATCTCCTTCTGGTAAAGGAAGAGACTAAATGAGAGCAGTGCACTTTAATACCTGGCTACGGTATTCTGTTTATTCCCCCTTTCTTATTTAACACACTTTTTGCTAAGCAAATCAAGATTGTTGCTCTTTCTAAAACCCAAGATCCAATTACTGCATAAATCACTTCAGCAATCCTACTTAGATTTGCAACTAGTTTAAATCAGAATTAGAAAGTTATTTGACTCTGTCCAGTAGAAACCAAGGGGTCATTTCTATGGACACCCTGTGGTCCTAGATAAATATTTACAATAAATACTGTTGAACAAATCATGTTACATATGAACATTTTTATAATTCTGGCAAAGATAATCACTCACTTTACACAAAATGAAATTACACAAGGCACTTGGTATTTGAAAATGGAAAATGTGTCTCCTTGTTTAATATTTTTCCCCCAGGAACAAAATGATAATTAGAGCAAAATAAAGGTATCCATTAATGACATACTTATAAATTTATTCTCAAATTTCTACTTATTGTGGAATCATTTAGGGGACAAAGAAATTGATCATATACCCTAGATGGATTTCAGATGTCCAACACTAATGCTAACACAAAATTTAATCTTTGTGAGCTAAATTAGCTAAGATAACCCGCGCATTGCAACCTAGCTCCAAGCTAATGTAGCTAACATAGACCTCTGATCAGATTTGGAGTACAGACGAAGGCACAGGGAGAATACAACTCCACTAATGTATTCTTTTTTATTTATTTGTAGGGTTAGAAGAAATGTCACAGAAAGAATAAACCCACATCAGATGTTTCTTGACATTCCCAGTCATAAGCAACCAATCAGAATGGCAAAGGTGAATATCTGCATATAAATGTGCCAAACAAATGAATAAAAAACATTCCTTTAATAGGATTGCCTCTAAGAATGTCATTCTTCTAACATTAAGGTTCCAAAGCATATAAAAATAGGATTTTTTCTCTTTATGGTAGTGAGGACTGAATATAAACTCTTATACATTTGAGTTAAGTGTTCTACCACTAAGTTAGGGTTCCTATTGCTGTGAAGAGACACAATGACCACCGCAACTCTTGTAAAGGAAAACATTTAAATGTAGTGGCTAACTTACAGTTTCAGAGATCTAGCCCATTTGTCATCATGGTTTGACACAGTGGCGAGCAAGCATATATGATGCTGAAGAAGTAGATGAGAGTCCTACACCTTGACTCACAGACAACAGGAAATGGTCTGTTTCACTGGGCATGGCTTGAGCATACATGAGACCACAAAGTCCACCCCCAAAGTGACACACTTCCTCCAACAAGGCCATCATTTTCTTTCAAACCACCACAACCAATAAATTGCATCTCTAGCTGGACTTTCTTATACTGTAGTTGACAGGATCATAAAGAAGCATGGCTTAGCAAGGCATAGTAGTTCATGCCTTTAATCCCAGCACTGGGGATGCAGAATCAGGTGGATCTCTGAGTTCTGAGTCAGTCTGGTCTACAGAGTTCCAGGAGAGTCAGGGCCACACAGAGAAGCCCTGTCTCAAATCCCACCCCCAATAAAAAGGACAGTAATTCCTAAGCTTCCACATTTCAGAGAGCTTACTATTTTTCTGCTCTCATTTTAGTTCAGTTCAATTTTACCCTGCAAATAGTGAGGGCATGTAATTCCAAATCAGGTTGCTAGACTGAAGTGACTCTTCCCTTTGCCCTGCTCTCCCCCAGAATCATTCATGGATGCAGTTTCAAAAATATTAATCAAGCATAGCATACATGTAGAAAAATAGTCAATTGAGTATGTCAGCCTGACACACTTTCACAAATTGAACACAGCCATTTCATGAGCATCTCGCACCCTGCTGAAGACACAGAGCATAATTTGTTGTTATTGTTTTGTTGTTGTGAGACTACATCTAGCCATGTAACTGAGTGGCCTGGAGCTCTCTCTGTGCACAACACTGGCCTTGAACTCACAGAGATTCATCTGTCTCTGCCTCTTGAGTTCTGGGCCACCAAATCTGGCTCATACATATTTACTTTAAATAAAACGTTAGAAATTAATTTAGCTGATTTTTTTTGGCAGTAACTGAAGTGGTAGTGAAAGAAATCATGAACTCAAGAAAAGAGATTCTTCTATACAAAAACATCAGTCCTTAAAAGGCCCTCTAAGCTGAGAAAAAAATAGCTTTAAAGTATTGAGATCTTTCTATCTTGCTTTTGGAACTGCTCAACTGGTTTTAGACATCACTGACGACAGTAAAAATTGATTAGCTCTGCTGTTATCCCTCCATCTTTCCATTCTGTTGCTTGTATTACTTGGTTTTGGGGGGGTTTAAAATATTTACTTTTTGATCTGCAATGATAGTACCCACATGGGTTAATCTTATTCCTATAGTAAATGGTTTAAGTCTACCTTGATTCTCTCTCATCAGAGCTTCTCGATCCCTATTTTGACCCAGTTGCTGGCATTGGTGTGCTAGCAGAATTTTATCCCAAAGGTTTTTAAGAAGAGTTCTGAGTTCATGTTTGAGAATGTCTATCGATTTGTACTTCAATGACAGGATAGTCTTGAATCATCTATCCTTTCTTCTAGCTCTATCGTGTATTATCCACAGAATGAGTCTCCCCACTCTACCCCCGTGTGTTGACCTCTTTTCCTGCCTGAACAGTTCAAAAGTGTTTTTCTCTTTTCTTGAATTTGAAAAAGACAATTAACATGTTTTTCAACTGTTCTGAATAATTTTATTTAATGTTCAGCATGTCTATTAAACAAGCAGACGAACAAAATTTTTTCAACTAAAATTTCCTGTTACTTTTACATTTTTCTTTTAAGATTCATTTTATTTTTATTTCTCTCTCTCTCTCTCTCTCTCTCTCTCTCTCTCTCTCTGTGTGTGTGTGTGTGTGTGTGTGTGTGTGTGTGTGTGTCTGTGATTGTGAATATAGGTACCTGCAGAGTCCAGAAAAGGACATTATGTACCATGAAGCTAAAGTTAGAGGCAGCTGTGAGTCCCTCAATGTGGGTGCTGGGACTCTGCAAGAATGGTACATGCTCTTAACTGCTGAACCATTTCCTCTACCCCTCATTTGTATTTTCTACTTCACTTGCTGAAGCTCTTCTCCAGGGACATCCATTATCCTTAAATTATGCTCTCTTTGTCTTCCATATCCAGCATCTACTATTTTCCTTAACTCTTTCTGATCATTCACTCACGCATTTCCATGAACTCCGGTGCTTTTATACTCGCCTCCACCCTTTGCTCTGTCATAACTAATGGTTTTGTTCTTGGCTGTTTCTATTTAGTTTATTAGCTTTCTAGTAATATGTTAATTCAAAGTGTGCTTCTCTTTCAATTTTTTTTATAAATCTTCCTAGGTATTTATTATTTTCCTCTTTTTATCAAAATTTTTTATAGTTCCTATTTCTTCTGAGTCACACTTTTGCCCATACTTGTGTAATTTATTTACTATCAATTTTAGCCTATTAATTCTGTATACTACTCTTTACTTCTTACTCATGACTATGAGATTAGCCTACACATTCTATCTGGACAGTAATAAAATGTAGGTGAACTCTCTAGAATACAGCATCTAAGTTTAGTTTCTTTCATTATTTGAGTCAGAAAAATAAATTATTTATAAGATACTTACTGATGGAACATTCAAATGTGTCCAATGGGTAATATATTTCTGACACTATAGTCTCAACAAAATGCAAATAAATATGTTAGAGTTTGAACATATGTCATGGATCTTTTCTTCCTATGTTACAGATTTTTAAACTTTGAATTTGATTTTGGAATGTATGTTAACCATATCGACACCCGTTAGAATAAAAGAGGAACATTCTCATTGCTACTTTTAAGTAGATCTTGGCATTTGAAGAAATTCAATAATAATTTTATTGTTTTAAATTTTTTATTTCTTTTTTGAGATGAATAATATAATTTCACCATTTCCCTCTTCCCTTCCTCTCTCCAAGCCCTCCCATGGACCCTCTTAAGTTGGAATCACAGATAGTTGTGAGCCACCTGATATGGGTGCTGGGATCAGAACTTGGATCCTTTGGAAGAAAAACAAACGTTCTTAACCACTGAGCCATCTCTCCAACTCCTATTTCTAGTTTATATATCATGTGACAGTGGCTTCTCTGTAATAGTACAAAAATATTCTCCTTAACTCTATAGGAAAGAAGCTCGTCTTTAACTTGAGAGGTCAGTAAAGCATTTAGCAAGGTGTCTCATACTATTCTGTCTTCTGAATGGTGGCAGAATTAATATGATTCATGGCTGACTGAAAAAAAAACATATGCTAAAAGTACCACTTAATGAACTAATATCATGCTGAAGAAACTCTCCAGATGTTTAATAGTGCTTTGTGCTTTCTGGAGTACTCAGTGGTACCTGTTATCAGTAGCTTGGATGAATACACAGAACAGGTATCAAATGTGTGGCTAATATCCAAGCGCATGAGAGCACAAAATCAGAATCCAAACTACTGAAACAGGCTGGAGTAATGACCGAAAATCTACTTAGGTAATGTAATAGAAAGACAAATATCTCCACTGCCCAGGAATAGGATATACAAATTTTGTTATACATATAACAACATGAGTGTAACAATTAAACCAAATCCATTAAATGCTAGACATCATTGTAAGAAGTATATATTTGTTGGGTAGTAAAAGAGCGCTGGGTCTGGCACTTGGGGAATTAGGACTAGAGAAGTTATCATTCACAATAAAATCGGTGGCTTTGCCACTCCTTTTTGCACCAGCAAAGATGGTACTTGGAGCTTTTTTTTTTTCGGGGCTTGAATTCCTCCATCTCGGCCGGGGTGGGCACCGCGGCCCTGGGCAGGTGGTGAGTGCAAAGAGACGGGAGTCCCTTTGTTCGGATAGCCGGCCTGCAGCAGGCTAGGACCGCAGGCAGCAAGTCTTCTGACCAGCGAGGGGCTCTGATCCTGTGGAGGGGTGAGTGTGTTGACCGCCAGCCATACAACTCCGGTTAGG